TTGGGAATAATGTCAACATTGCAGTGACTTGTGAGAGTTATAAAACACAACAATGTAAGTAACACATCCATTATTCTAACTGCTGTAGTGTGGTTCTCAATATATGACTAGTGTGATTATGTAATTAATGTTTACTAGGCTACAAAATACTTTCATTTACACCTTCAAACTACTCCTAAAGAAGGAAAACAGATGCATGTCCCAATTTAGGGAATGAAGATATTAAGACCAGCAGCACAGTGAAGATCACAGGCTGGTTCAATAGGAGGGCAAACTGCTGCTGACTGTTTGTGGTCTGGTACTCCGAGGTGATGAGGCCCCACGCAGGCAGATGGGGCAAGGTGAGCACCTCATAACCAGACTCCGACCTTGTCATCTTAGATGTACCTGAGGCAGGACCATGTGCCGAGAACAGACTGAAACCACAGACCTTGCCCCCAGGAGAGGCATTCTACTAGTTGAGTAAGTGATGACAGGATTTGGAGGTTTTCCCAAAATCATAATGGGAAGATATCAATATACATTATTAAAAAAAAACAGGAGCAATACCATCTGTCTTCTTAGACTAACAGCAACTTTACCGTCTGTAATAATGTTTGAGAAATAGACTAAGGATCAAGCACTTTTTTTTTTTAAAGAGTTTTTATTTATTTATTTGACAGAGAGAGAGAGAGATAGCGAGAGCAGGAACACAAGCCGGGAGAGTGGGAGAGGGAGAAGCAGGCCTCCCGCCGCCGCCGCCGCCGCCGCCGCCGAGCAGGGAGCCCTATGCGGGGCTGCATCCCAGCACCCTGGGATCATGACCTGAGCCGAAGGCAGACGCTTAACGACTGAACCACCCAGGTGCCCCAAGGATCAAGCACTTTTAACTTGAAAAAATGAACTTTTCTTCCTGAACTTTTTTTTTTAAGATTTTATTTTTAAGCCAACACGGGGGCTTGAGTTTACAGCCACCCACCCCCATCAAGAGTTGCATGCTCCTCCCACTGAGCCGGCCAAGAAAGTTAACCCTTTCTTAACTTTTTTATAATGGTTAATGAAAGAGTTTTTGCCCCAGAGAGCATTTTAATTAATTTCAGATCATAACAGGCATAAAGAAGTGAGTGAAAGGTTAGGCCATCAAATGTGGGTAACTTGGCTTCATGAGGTTTTTGTTTGTTTTGTCAGAAGCATAAATGTGTAGTGAAATTACCCCCCAAAAGGGCAAAGTGTAGAACAGTATGCTATCGCTTATGCACAAAAATGGAATCTACAATTGACCTTGAACAAGGCAGGGGCTGACACACACCCAGACTGCACAGTTGAAAATCTGCATGTTAGTTTGGACTCCCCCAAAACCTAACCACTAAGAGCCTGCTATTGACTGGAAGCCTTACCAGTAACATAAACAGTAGATCAACACATATTTTGTTTGTTTTTTTAATATTTTATTTATTTATTTATTTGAGAGAGAGAATGAGATAGAGAGAGCATGAGATGGGGGAGGGTCAGAGGGAGAAGCAGACTCCCTGCTCAGCAGGGAGCCCGATGCGGGACTTGATCCCGGGACTCTGGGATCATGACCTGAGCCGAAGGCAGGCGCTCAACCAGCTGAGCCACCCAGGCACCCCAACACATATTTTGTATGTTATGTGTATTATATACTGTATTTTAAAAAGATTTTTATTTATTTTAGCGAGAGTTTAGAGAGAAAGAGAGCAGGGGGAAGGGTAGAAGGAGAGGGAGAGAAGCAGACTCCCTGCTGAGCATGGAGCCAGATGCGGGGCTCGATCCCAGGACCCTGAGGACCATATGACCTGAGCCAAAACCAAGAGTCGGATGCTTAACCAACTGAGCTACCCAGGCGCCCCTATATACTGTATTCTTACAATAAAGTAAGCTAGAGAAGAAAATGTTATTAAGAAAATACATTTACAGTATTATACTACATTTATGCAAAAAAATCTGTGTATAAGTGGACCCATGTAGTTCAAACCCATGATGTGCAGATCTGAGATGGGTTGCAGAACTAGCAGGGTCCTCAAACTGTGGGTGAAATACGGCCAGTGAAATTTAGATGGATAGGTCCAGGGAGGGGTGGTGGATCCCACCAAGGTCACAGAGAAAGCTAGTGTTGGAGTGCCCTTGGGAGGGGGTGAGGGGGTCTTGCCTTCTGGCCCAGACCTCTACACTTGCCTTATTGCTTGGCTCAGGTACCCTCAGGGATAAGCTAGGTGAGGAGGGCAGAAGGTCTGGGCTTGGCAGGGAGACCAATGGAGAAACCCAGTGGAGAGTCTCGTGGCTCTGTGTCCACCTCTGACTACGGCTTTCGGGCAGGAACGGATGGACATGGCCTGGCCCATGACACAGTTGCTGCTTCTGGCTTTGGTGGCTGCTGCATGGCGTGCCCAGCCCAGGACTCCAGGGGCCGGGATGGACCTGCTCAACATCTGCATGGACGCCAGCACCATAAGACAAAGCCAGGCCCCGAAGACAAGCTGCACGGCCAGGTGAGGATGGAGTGGGGTCATGGGTTGGGGAGAGAGCTGACCCTAAAAATGGAAGAAGTCGCAGAAAGGGAAGATCAACTTTGGGGAGCAATGGAGTCAGGAGGGTGGCTGAGGTGATCCCCAGGAGGCTACCAAATCTACTATAGTGGGGGTACCACTTCTCTGGCCCCCAACTCCCATGGCAAGTGCTTTCCTCACAACTCATCAGTGAATATGCCCAGAGGGCCGACTTGGTAGGTGGATGGTGGTCTCTACTTATACAGGAGAGGAAATAAGAAATGAGGTCCACAGAGGGCATAGGTACAGTGTGCATGTACGTGTACGTCTGTGCATACACATACCATGGGAATTGAGAGGCTAGACATGAGCAGGGGCTAGGACAGAGTCGGACAGTGCCTTTGCCAGCCTTAAATATGCCCCTGGCCCATGGAGCTCAAAAGGTACAGGGGACACAGGTCCCTCAAGGTCATGATGCAGCAAACACGGAGGAACAGTCCAGGTCCTCCACCCCCATCAGGTCTCGAAGAGACAGTGACAAATCAGATAACACTGGGAAGACTTCCCAGGAAAGGTGCCATCAGCCTTGGCCTTGGAGGATGAGTAAGAGTTTTCCAGGAAGACAAAGCAGGAAAGGGCAGCCTGGCAGAGAACAGCTTGTACACAGGTGAAGGGTGACAGCATGGGCAGTGGCGAGCATAGTGTGACCAGAGCCAAGGATGCTGCTGCCCACAGAGAAGGGGAGGGGAGGGAAGCCCCTGAAGCAGCTGGGAAGCTGAGCTTACAGTTGAACTCCAGGCTCCCGACAAATGCCGGTCCTTCATTCCCCCTGGTCTCCTCCTCTGCTCCCCACGAAGTCTCATGTTGCTGGAGGACGGGGATGTCCCCAGGGAAAGCTGGCCTGGACTCACCCAGAGGCTAGAAGTGAAGAGCGGGAAGCCCAGAGCCCCATGACTTCTGAGTCATTTCCAACTTCTCGTTTGTGGCGGGAGGGGGGGGGTGCGCGCGTGCTAAAATATACATAGTATAAAAGTTGCCATTTTAAGCATTTCTAAGTGTCAGGTTTGATGGCCATTCATATTGTTGTCACCACCACCATCCATCTCCAAAACTTTTTCTGAAAGGCTACTCTATTTTCAGAACTTTTTAAGTTCTAGAAGGTGCTTCTAAGACCCCTCGGGAGCACTTCTTTGCCAAGAAATGGCACGCAGACTTTTGAGGGAGCCATTTGCTTGTAATTCTGAGGGACAGGGGCTATAATGGGAGTGCTTATCTGTGTCAAGCCCCTACTAGAGGCCAGCAAGTGCTTTTCAGTATAATCATTCACTCTTTTGGAGGCAGGAACAACTGAGTCTGGTTGGCAGGTCAGGGATGAGGTGCACGGGGTCTTGCAGAGCCACCAGGAGTTGGGGCATCTGAGGAGGGGCACGCGTGAAGTCAGGGAGGCCTGGAAGCATGTTCGATGTCAGCTGTGCTGGGGGTGGGCTAGATTGTTGGACAGAGATAGGTTTGGTTCCACCCTCTTGGATTTTCCTTAGTTTCTCCTGAGTGCCCAGACCTGTCCCATGTCCCCTGTCACTTGGTCTTGGGTGCTAGAGGTCGTCTCAGAGATTTTAAGTGACTGGCTCATAATCACTCAGCTCCGGAGTTCCAGCTTGGAACTATTTCTATAGAGAAATCTTCACCACTTCCACTGTCTTATCAGCCTTGAATTTAACTCTCTGGGATGGTCTCCCACATTGAGTCAGGTCCACACTGGGGTTCGTGCGCAGGCCATTATGCCCTCTGTCCCCCACCGCTTTCTGGACCTATCTGGAGTCCCCTAGCCTGGGGATCCAAGACCCTAGGACAGCCAGATCAGCCCCTTTCACTTCTGCCCTTACCACAGCTTGGGGCCAGGCTCTTCTCTTCCCTGCCCTGAGTTAAAACCTTCATCCCACTATTTACCAGGGGTGCAGCTTATGTAAATTCTGTAACAGTTGAATGAATGATGTTTTCACTAGAGTGTTGAGGGCATTAAGTGCAAAAGCCTCAGGGACTTTGCACTTGCTGTTTTCTGTGCCTACAATGTTCCATGTCTTCCCCCTGCCCCTGACTAAAGCCATAAACTCCATAAAGGCAGAGATTTGATCTGTTTTGTTCACTGCTGTATTCTCAGCACCTAGCACGATGCGGGGTTGATCATAAGTACTCAGTTAATATTGGCTGGATGCAAAATGAGTAATATAAATAACCCGAATCACGTGAAATAACTTTCTAAACCGTTTAGAGTTGTGAAAACAATTGCTCCCCCAGACAGTGGTTCCCAGGCCTCCCACATCCACTGTTTTACTCTCTGTTAAAAACTCCGTTATAATTGCCTCTACCCCAAGGGCCAGGCATAGCAACGCCCTCCCCAGCAAGGGTTCCTCTGGATGCCCTACCTGGGGCAGAGGAGCCAGAAGATGGGGGAGACAGCTGGGCCGGGGGGGAGGGGCAGTTAGTCTGGTGTCTTCCCCACGCAGTGCACTCCCTGGAAGGAGAAGGCCTGCTGCTCAGCCAGCACCAGCCAGGAGCTGCACAAGGACACCTCCCTCCTGTACAACTTCACCTGGGACCACTGCAGCAAGATGGAGCCCGCCTGCAAGCGCCACTTCATCCAGGACAACTGTCTCTATGAGTGCTCACCCAACCTGGGGCCCTGGATCTGGGAGGTACGGGACCTTCCCTCACCCCAGCCCAGCAGGCTGCCAGCCAGCTCTGTCAAGGCTGCAGGCGGCCCACATCCCCGTCCCCCCACCCTCCCCTCCCACCCAGGTGAACCAGAGCTGGCGCAAGGAGCGTTTCCTGCACGTGCCCCTGTGCAAAGAGGACTGCCAGCAATGGTGGGAGGATTGTCGCACCTCCTACACCTGCAAGAGCAACTGGCACAGGGGCTGGGACTGGACCTCAGGTGAGGGCCTGGGGGGTGGGGGGGAGACGCAGGTGGGGTTGGAGGATTTGGGGGTGGCCAGAAACCAGCTTCGGGCCCAGGGGCTGAATGTCTGCGTCCACGCCCTCTCCGCCTGCAGGAATTAACAAGTGTCCAGCTGGGACCACCTGCCGCACATTTGAGACCTACTTTCCCACGCCTGCAGCCCTGTGTGAGGGCCTCTGGAGTCACTCCTACAAACTCAGCAATTACAGCCGAGGGAGCGGCCGCTGCATCCAGCTGTGGTTCGACCCAGCCCAGGGCAACCCCAACGAGGAGGTGGCGAGGTTCTATGCCCTGGCCATGAGTGCCGGGGCCCTGCCCCGAGGGGTGGAGCCTCTCCTGCTCAGCTTGGCCCTGATGCAGCAACTCTAGCTGCTCGGCTGAGCCCCTCCCACTGCCGACACCTGCACACCTTCCTAGTCTGCACCCGGCCCAGCCCGGGTGACCTGGCCTCAGCTGAGCTCAGCACTCTCAGATGAGGGGACCTCACAATGCCCTGGTCATTCGTTCTTGATCCAACATGGGTCATATGGGGTTCCTCTGACAGCCTATTTTAATAGATCCATGTGTATCTTGTGTCTTGTAAATAATTTGGGGATGATGGGGCGCCTGGGTGGCTCAGTGGTTAAGTGTCTGCCTTTGGCTCAGGTCATGATCCCAGCGTCCTGAGATCGAGTCCCACATCGGGCTCCCTGCTCCTTGGGAGCCTGCTTCTCCCTCTGCCTCCTCTCTCTCTCTCTCATGAATAAATAAATAAAATCTTAAAAAAAAAGAAAATAATAATAATTTGGGGATGAGTGGGTTGGAGGGACATGCTTCAATTGCTTTATCATTCCTATTGAGAGACCCAAAGAGGGACTGTGACTAGCTTGAAGTTCACCAGCAAGTAGGAGGTAGAAGCTGACTCCTTAGTCTGAGGCTCTTACTTCTTCACCAGGCTTCCCCCCCATGTCAAATTCATCAGTCCCACACCACAAGGGGATATAGGGTTGGGTGGAGAGAAGCTGGGCAGAGACTGACAGATGAGTTCTCAGGCTCCTGGTGAGAAAGAAAGTTTCTTTCCCTTATTAGATGTGGACTAGGGTGCAGATATTAGTGGTGGTAGTAGGTAAGGAATCTCAATGATGAACAAACTGCATTGCTTCCCTTTTTTAAAAGAGAGAGTTGCTGGGCAGAGAGAGAGGGAGAGAAAGTCTCAGGCAGACTCCACACTGAACATGGAGCCCGATATGCGGCTCGATCCCAGGACCCTACATGACCTGAGCAGAAACTAAGAGTCGGACCCTCAACTGACCAAGCCCCCCCGCCTCCCACTAGCGATGAGTGCCTGTTTCCCAGGGTCAAACTTTTGATTTCCTACTAAGCTGACTTTTTTGCTAAGCTGATAGGTGGGAAAAGACCATCTTTTTTAAAAAAATATTTTATTTATTTATTTGACAGAGAGAGACACAGCGAGAGAGGGAACACAAGCAGGGGGAGCGGGAGAGGGAGAAGCAGGCTTCCCGTGGAGCACGGAGCCCAATGCGGGGCTCCATCCCTGGACCCTGGGATCGTGACCTGAGCCGAAGGCAGACACTTAACGACTGAGCCACCCAGGCGCCCCGGGAAAAGACCATCTTGGTGTGGTTTTCATGTGCCATGTGTCTTATCATGAGAACACAGTTTCTGAGATCTTCCTTATTGATCTACTGAGTTTTGGCCCATTCTTTTCAATCCCTGGGCAATAGTCCAGTCTATGTGGTGTATGTCACATTTAACTCAGTCTCCTACTGATGGATATTTGAGGGAGAGGGGTTCTTTTAGAACCTTGACATTTTTGAAAAGCACAGGCCAGTTACATTGTAGAATATCCCTCATTTGGGGTTTATCGGTTTCTTCCTCATTAGACTGAGGTTATGCATTTTTGGCATGAATATCCCCAAGGCAATACTGTGTCATTCTCAGTGCATTCTAACAGAAGGCGAATGGTGGTGAGTTCACCCACTCCTGAGGGTGAGACTGGATCCGTCAGGTTTCTCCACTACTTTTTTCCCCCTTTGTAATTTGTAAGTATGATATAGGCAGATACTGAGAACTGGAGATATCCTATTGACCATCATACAGGTACCCACAAGTTTCACTATCTGATGGACACTTTTTAAAAAAGTAAAACAAACACCAAAAATGTCTTATGTGACAGTCCCTCGCCAACCCTTTAATGCTCTCCCATGGTATCTGTTGGAGACACCAAACTTCAACGGCATAGAGAGCCCAGCCCTCCACCCTGACTTACACGGACTTAAAGCTCATTTCCAATCCTTCCGTTCCACACCCCATAGGTGAGCTCCATTCACACTTCTCACTTCGTGCCTTTGTGCCAGCAATTCTTTCTGTGTTCCTGGAATGTTCCTTTGTCCTCTCTGGGCTGCTTCCTTGTAGTCACTTAGATTTCAACCTATGATTCCCCACTAACATGACTTCTGACGAACCAAAAGAGGTCATCCAAGCACTTTCTTATCATATCTGTCTTGTCCCTTTGTACAAATACTTATTATCTGCTGTGTTTGTCATCTGCTTTTCCCTAACAAAACAAACACTCACAGGGAGTCTATGGGAGCTGGGGGAGGTTAGAGAAGGCTTCCAGGGGAGCCATGTTTGCCAAGCAGAAAATGGTGGGAGGAACAACATTCCATGGAGAGGGTTCAGCAAGGACAAAGGCTTGGTAGGATGGAAACTGAAGCAGAAATTTCTAGGTTGCTGAAACAGAAGTTAAAAGGCAAGGGCCGGAACTGAGGCCAGAGGAGAAACACTGGATTTGCAATCCTTAGGCTGATGCCCTGAAGGCCTCTCACAGAGCTTTCCTTTCTCTCTTTGTGGAAGGATCTGGCTTGGAATGGGATTCAGATCTGAATTCTCAGCCTCTCCTGGCTGCCTGGGAACTGCTGTTTCCACAGCTAAGAAAACAGGGGGCAGGCTAGCAGCGGGCAGGGAAAGCTCCAGTTTCACCCACCCTGACTCCCTGCAGCCTGGGGCCCCCACCTGTGCCCGTCAAACACCTTCCTGTTATCTTTGGTCATAGCACAGCCTACAGATTGGGGTCTATAGGGTGCCGATGGCTCACCTGGCTGATATTAAACTTCCAGTCCAGGCTCAAAGGTGGCTGCCTCACCCTGCCCCTCCCTGCAGGTCAGACAGCCCCAGCACCCAGATCCCAGATTCAGAGGAGGGCTCAACAAAGGGGAAGGAACTCCCCACAGATCAGAACTCCACCCCCATCTCCCCTCCCATTAGCTGCTGACTTCTGAAGCCCTCAGGGCCCAGGGTCTTCCTCTCCTAGTCAAGAGGCCACAAAACCCAGTTAAGGATCAGTCCCCAGGGCAGAGTGGAGGATGCCGGGTAGGGGCAAATTCCATCTGGAGGAGTTCCGTCCTGCAGGCATTCTTAGATCTCTGGTCATTCTCCAATCTGGAGAGGGCTGCCTGGTCTTATAAAGCAAGAAGAGAGGTCTGAGGAGTCCGATGGCCCTTCATCTGCTGAGGTCTTCTGAGGCCTTAACCCTCCCTGCTTGTCACAGGATTCAAGTAAGGATCGCCCCGAGGGAGAGGTAAACAGGGCTTGATTTGGGGGGGGGGGGGGTTGGGGGAGAGAGGAGGTCTTCTGGGAGTCCATTTCTTTACAGGCCCTTCAGGGCTTGGTTGCTTCTCCAGCAAGCCCATCCCCAGCCTGTTCCATGGGCCCTGTGGCCTTCCCCACAGTGCTGAGGCCCCACTTTCCTTAAACTTATATTGCTGTCCCTAGGCCGATGACGGCCACATCTGTATCCAACCTGTACCCTTCCCCGGGGCTCTTGACTCTTTGACCACTTCTCCCTAGGTGGCACACAGGCACTGTGACAAAATGGAGCTCGGCATTTCTTCTTGCCCAAATTTGCTCCTCTGCTTTTCCCTTTCCCCGCCAGTGGTACCACCATGGTAAAAGGAAGGCTTCTGTCCTTGGCTGGGGTGGGCATGGTGGAGGGGTCTACCGGAGACCTGACTCTCAGATGCTGTAGAAGGGACACCTGTGTGGGTGGGTGCCAGGGGGAAGGGAGGGGGGCTGGGCATCTGAATGTCTGATTTGGCTGCTGGTAATGCCTGGGGCTGGTGAGGTTGGAGGAGTTGGCGGATCTCTGTGTTGGGGACTGGGGAGCTCTGCACTCGCTACAGCTGCCTGGGAGCTTCGAAGCCTGCACTCCAGTCCTTGCCCTGCATTTGGTTCTGTCCTGAGTCTCTGGATCTCATTCTCATCTGTATACGAAGGACAGGGGGTTGGAAGTGGACAGGTTTATTTTAAAGGATCCCGGCATCTCTGGCTGCAAGGTTTTATCAGACCTGAGTTTGGGGGAGAAAATGGGGTAAGTAGGACTTGGGGACTGGCCTGCACTATGAATCCACCCACCTCCCATGGAGGCCTGGCTAGTGCCCACAATAATTAGCATGCAATAATTAACTGCTGAGTGGCCTTCGCCCGATCCCAGGCTCCACTCCTGGGCCACATTCCCCGCTGCCTGCCCTACTGCCCGTCTCCTAGGCCACTAAACCTCAGCTGTGCCCCAAAGTAGGGCAAGGGGGACTCTAGAGCGGAGCAGAAGACTGAGCCAGGCCAGGAACCACTTCCTCTCCCAGGTATGCCTCCCCACCTCCTCAGTAGAGGCAACACACCCCATGGTGCCCCCAGCAGGTGTTAAAGAATTTGCTGAACCAGGAGGATCCACTTTGCCTAAATCCCAGAGAATCCAAAAGTGGAGGCTGAGGGCCCAGAGCAGAGCAGGGCCTGGCCAAAGTTCAAACGGTAAGTTGGTGTCCACCCCCGAACTAGAACCGATGGGCTCTTGCCTTTTAGCACGGTGCCGAGTCCTTAGCGCAGTTCAAGTCTGGGGCCCTAGGGCACCTGTGGTCAGGGTGATGAGGGTGATGGTGGCTGGTGGGGGATGGAGGGCATGGAGAGTTGCACCAAGATCTGAAGCAGAGACTAGGAATGTGGGGAGTGGCTTGCCGGGTAATGTAGATTGCATGAGAGGAGAGCTCTAGCTCTAGAAAGCAACCGCAGTAAGAAAAACCCCTGACCGACCAGGTGGGGCCCAAGGAGCCTGGGGCGGGGGCTTTCTGTTAGGACTGAGATCGTGGACAGGCTCCTCTGGCCCCCTGTGCTCTAAACTGCTAGACTGTTTCCCCAGAGAGTCACCTGGTGCTCCCCAGAATACAGACTTGTCCTTTGCTTTCGCAGATCAGTAAGTGATTTGGTCATGAGAAGGATGATTGGGTCCTGGAATGAATGAATTAGCAGGGGAGAGAATGAATGAACACGAGAATAAATAGAGTAGTAGAATCTTGGATGGTGGGAAGGTGAGGGGCAAGTTGGGGAGTGCGGCGGCAATTCAGTTCCAGGTTCCCTGAGCCCTGCTAGGCAGTCAGCCTGGAGGCGGCCAACTCTGGCCCCATCCAGGAGGCCCAGGAAGAAGCCCGAGTTCCACAGGACATGGGGCACTGTGGAGACAAGGCAACTTGGAGCAAAGGGGTGCATGTGCTTTTGGGAGCTGTGGGAAACATACCAAAGTTTAGGAGAGCCCAGGTGCCTGGTGACCGGTGGGGTGAAGGAACAGTCCGTCACCTCCAGGTTCAGGGTCTGAGCTCAGAGGGCTGAGGTGCCCCAAAGGTGGGAGGCCAGCTCTGTGGCCAGGGGATGGGAACCTCCCAAGGCCTGGAGGCTGTCCAGCCTGCCCACACCCACCCCCAGCCCTCCGTGCCCTGTGACAATGACCCACGTCACAGGACCTCTGGGAGAAACCAAATGATGAGGCTGGGGAAGGGCTGGAACCAAGGTTGGGGGTTGTTTGGTTTGGGTTTTTAGAGAGGGAAGGGAGGGGCAGAGGCAGAGGGAGAGAGAGAGAATCCCAAGCAGGCTCCACTCCCACCTCAGAGCCCGACGTGGGCCTTGATCTCATGTCCCTGAGATCACGACCTGAACCGAAATCAAGAGTCAGATGCTTGACAGACAGACTTCCAGGAGCCCCTTGTTTTTGTTTTTTCTAAACATAGGTCTGCAGCTTATCTGGAGCTTCAAAACTAAGATCATTGTCAAAGTTTGCACAAAGTGATTTGGTGTCAAAATCTGACCTGAGAATCAATGTGAGGTTATCAATAGTTTTTTTTTGTTGTTGTTATAGTTTTTATTTAATCCACCAGTGTAACTCTTTTACCACAGAATGTGTGCTTGATTGTTGTGCATGTAAATCGTATTACCTTTTACCAAATCCTTAATATTTTAAATTCTGAAACATTTGCCTCCAAGGATTTCAGAACAAGAGACTGTGGACCTATGGCAATCTCCTGGCTGTTTCTGCATTTTGCCCAAACCCCATCCCTTAGTTTCATCACTTGATCCCTTCCACCTGGAGAAGTCAGTAACCTGAGTGACCCGAGCAAGGACCGACTGTCCCAGGGGGTGGTGTCTGATCTCATCCCTCCCTGAGGCTGGGAAGACTGAGGGGTAGGCGTGGGGCAGGACCAGGCCCAGGTTTCACGGAGGCTCCACCTACTTGGGGGTTGTTTCCACCCACCTGGAGGCCCCACCCCCTGCCTTCCCTGGTGCCACTGACCACAGCTCTTCCTTCAGAGACCGACATGGCCCAGCTGGTGAGAACACAGCTGCTGCTCCTTCTGGTGGGGGTGGCCGCAGTATGGGCAGCCCAGCCCAGGACTGAGCTTCTCAATGTCTGTATGGACGCCAAGCACCACAAGGAAAAGCCAAGCCCAGAGGATCAGCTGCATAAGCAGGTGGGCAGAGGGCCAGTCTGGGGTGGGGAGGAGCAAACTCAGGAAGACGAAGGTGGGAATGGAAGCGTCCAAGTCCTTCCATGGTGGAGGCAAGAAGGCCATCTGAGAGGCCTTGAGAGTGTACTACTGTGGGCACCTATCTGCTTACCACATGCTCAGTGCCCCATGTTGTCAGTACGACGCCAAGAGCCCAGCTTCTTGGTTGTTGCATTTCTGGGGCACACAAACCTGGAAGCATGTCCAGAGAGGAGCCTAGGAAATGACACTGGAGCGACCCAGCCCAGGGGTTCATTTTGATTTCAGAGTCTAGACGGGAACTGACCCCTCTAAGAGTCTTGAGAGGAGAAAGTACCCACAGCACATCGTGGCTTCTATTCTGCCAGCCCCAACCAGCTGGAGAAAAGTGGATTTCTCACAGTCGTGAGGCTGGGTGTGAGGCACCTTGATTCACACATCTAGCAAACATTTCCTCTGGGGTTCTTGACCTTTTTATTGGACCTGAGGTCTCCTTTCTATGACAATTGTTTTACCACAACCCCTTTAATATCCTGAACCTGTCTACATGTTTAAAAAAAATCAATATGATGCCATAACTGTAAAGAAAACACAAAAGGGAAGCCACTTGCAAAATGCATTCCAATATGTCAATGTTCATTTTGACCTCATTAACAGATAGTGATTGCATTGCTTTGAATCACTGAGCCTACAGCTGAGTGATGGTGTAACTTGGATACTTGGAGCAGCCTTGACTTTAACTTCTTCAGCCTATATATTGTTTTTAAAGTGCACATTTTTTTTTAAGATTTTATTTATTTATTCATGAGAGACAGAGAGAGAGAGAGAGAGAGAGAGAGAGAGAGAGAGAGGCAGAGGAGAAGCAGGCTCCCAAGGAGCAGGGAGCCCGATGTGGGACTCGATCCCAGGACCCTGGGATCATGACCTGAGCCGAAGGCAGACGCTTAACCATCTGAGCCACCCAGGCACCCTAAAGTGCACATTTTAGGGGCGCCCAGGTGGCTCAGTCAGTTGAGGCTCTGACTCTTGATTTCAGCTCAGGTCATGATCTTGGAGTCATGGGATCCAGCCCTGCATCGGGCTCCACTCTGAGTGTGGAGCCTGCTTGGGATTTTCTCTCTACTTCTCCCTCTGTCCCCTTCCCAGCCTCTACCCTCCTTTTGTGCATGTGTGTGCACAATCCCTCTCTAAAAATAAAGTGCACATTTTAATATTTTGCTTTTATACTGCATTCTAAGCTATGGGTTTTCATTCATTCAGTGTTTTGAGTATTTCTGTAAATAGATCTATTCTGAGGTTCTAATTAATTTGACTTGCTTCCTCACCTCCAGGTGTTTTGTGACTTTCTCAGTGAGGCATCTCTGACCATTCTAGAAAGCTGCAATTCCCCATCCCTCTCTCCTGCTTTAATCTCTTTCCAAACTAGGTGTCCTGTGAGAAGTGTTCCTTGTCATGTCTCTACTCTTTGGATTAGAGGAAGTAGGAGCTCAATAAAAATTTGAATTAATGAATTTCATAATGCCTGCACTGCCCCTGAAGAGGGTCTCCCAATGGCAAGCATTGCCCTGGAAGGCTGACTGCCTTGGGGGATCAAAGACTAAAAGGGGTGAGGCAGCACGTGGGAATATTGTGGGTGTGCTGGGTGTGGGAGTTAGTCCCTGTGTTTTCCCCACCCAGTGCAGCCCCTGGAAGAAGAATTCCTGCTGCTTCGCCAACACCAGCGAGGAAGCCCATAAGGATATTTCCTACCTGTACAAATTCAACTGGGACCATTGTGGACATATGACACCTGCCTGCAAAAGGCACTTCATCCAGGACACCTGCCTGTATGAGTGCTCCCCTAACCTGGGGCCCTGGATCCAGGAGGTATGAATGTTCTCCCTGGACCCCCACCTTTACAGAGGAGCTGAGCTTCCCAGACCTCATGTCAGGCTGCCTCTCCAGCTCTGGGTCTCTTCAGGGCTGAGCTGCTGAGAATCGCGAACCTGAGCCCTTTTTCTCTCCTGACCTCCCACCCAGGTGAACCAGAGCTGGCGCAAGGAACGCATCCTGGACGTGCCCCTGTGCAAAGAGGACTGCCAGCAATGGTGGGAGGACTGTCGCACCTCCTACACCTGCAAGAGCAACTGGCACAGGGGCTGGGACTGGACCTCAGGTGAGGGCCCAGGCGGGGCAGGAAGGGAGAGATCTGGAGGTGGAGGTGTGGGGTGTGGGGCTGCCATAGGAATATTTGGGGCTGTGGGCTTGGTGGAAGCAAAGCTACTTCTGGGCCCAGTGGCTGAAGGTCTCCCATCTTTCCTACAGGCTATAACCAGTGCCCAGCGGGAGCCGCCTGCCTTCCTTTCCATTTCTACTTCCCCACATCGGCTGCTCTGTGCCGTGAAATCTGGAGTCACTCCTACAAACTCAGCAACTACAGCCGAGGGAGCGGCCGCTGCATCCAGCTGTGGTTCGACCCGGCCCAGGGCAACCCCAACGAGGAGGTGGCGAGGTTCTATGCCCTGGCCATGAGTGCCGGGGCCCTGCCCCAAGGGGTGGAGCCTCTCCTGCTCAGCCTGGCCCTGATGCAGCAGCTCTGGCTGCTCGGCTGAGCCCCTTTCACCCTCTGATACCCTCCCAGTCATGCCCTGTTGAGCCCCACAGCTCCTGGCCAATCACTTCCTGCTCCTTGGCCAGGGATGGGGCTCTGACCGACAGTTTGAATAAACCAGACACCCACCATGTGTTACATGAGTTATTTGGGTGTGAGTGGGAATGTGACAGGTTTGCTTCCCAGTTCCCATTGATTGAAGCCAGTTAGACTTGGTCAGTTCCCAGTTCTGATACTTCTGTGAACTTTCTAGATGTTGGACTTTTCTTGTAACCTAGAACATATTCATAGCTCTCAATTGCCTTTTTAAAAAAGATTTTATTTATTTATTTATTTATTTATTTATTTATTTATTATTTATTTGAAAGAGAGAAAGCGCAAGAGGGAGAGGGAGAGAGAATTTGAAGCGGACTATGGGCTAAGCGCAGGGCCCGATCTGGGGTTCGATCTCACAACCCTGAAATCATGACCTGAGCTGAAACCAAGAGTTGGACGCTTAACTGACTGAACCACCCAGGTGCCCCTCAATTTCCTTTTTCACTACAGCTTTAATCTACAGCTAGGCCCAGAGTTTTATCATTTGAATTGGACCCAAGCGTTCCAGGGTTGACTGTTCTGCCCAGTGCTCAGCTCTCTGATAGAAGAGAGGGGAATGGCTGTGCCCAGCATGTTCTGGATGGATGGCTGGGTAGAGGTGAAGAGGGCCAGCAAGAGCCATTCCTCACTAACAGCTAATACCCACAAAGCGCTCTCTACCAGGCACTGTCCTACATGCTTTATATGTATTCCTATAGGGTATAGACACTGTTGTCTACATTGTACACATGTGGAAACAGCCACCTAAGTTAAGAAACATGGCTAAAACTGTCCCCTGCAGGGGTGACTGGATGGCTCAGTCGTTAAGTGTCTGCCTTCAGCTCAGGTCATGACCCCAGGGTCCTGGGATCGAGCCCCACCTCGGGCTCCCTGCTCAGCAGGAAGCCTGTTTCTCCCTCTCCCACTCCCCCTGCTTGTGTTCCCTCTCGCTGTGTCTCTCTCTGTCAAATAAAATCTTAAAAACAACAACAAAAACTGTCCCCTGCATAAAAGCTGGGATTCCACCCCAGGCAGTATGGCTCTTGAGAACAAGCTCTTTGTCCCATGGAGTGTGTAAATATGTGTATCTTGAAGGGATAACAGACCTCATGCTTGACCAGAGAAGCTGGGCTAGAGCGGGTCTGGCAGAGCCAGGAAAGGAACCCAAACCTAGACTCCTAGAGCTGGTTACAAACAAACAATCCGAGAGATTTTTAGGCCTTGTTTTCACATTAAGTATAGTTTGTAGCAGTTATAATAAGCTAGGTTATGTTACAGTAACATATCAGATATTTCCAAGACAACTATCATTTCTTATACAAGCTACAGTGCTTGCTGTGGGCAATCTGGGATAGCCTGCATGTCACTCAGGGGCCAAGCCTGTGGGAAGCTCCATCTCATTGCACACTTCCATGAGACAGGAATAGGAAACCTGGTGAATTCCATATGGGCTTTTAAAAGTTCCACCCAACACTAATTTTGATGGCCAAATCAAGTCATGACCACGACTAACTTCAAGGAGGCGAGAAAAATACAATGCTAACAAGTTCTTGAAAGGAGAGGGCAATGAGAATGGTTGTCAAAAGACCTAATAACCACTACAAAGACCTTGTTATGTTATGGTCAGTTTATATTTCTGGCATGGTTGTGGTTACAAATTTAATCTTTCAGATTCAGGTAAGAAAGAGAACCAGCTCTGTGAACCTCTGCAAAAAACTGTATCAAGAGTGGAGCAATCTCCTGGCCACCATCCTAGTAGTCTTGCAAACAAGGCCAACATTTTCTACAGAACCAGTGATAACTATTTACAAATGGGACTTATTTTTTTATTGTTATGTTAATCACCATACATTACATCATTAATTTTTGATGTAGTGTTCCATGCTTCATTGTTTGTGCGTAACACCCAGTGCTCCATGCAGAACGTGCCCTCTTTAATACCCATCACCAGGCTAACCCATCCCCCTACCCCCCACCACTCCAGCAACCCTCAGTTTGTTTCCTGAGGTTAAGAATTCCTCATATCAGTGAGGTCATATGATACATTCTTTCTCTGATTGACTTATTTCGCTCAGCATAACACCCTCCAGTTCCATCCATGTCATTGCAAATGGCAAGATCTCATTCCTTTTGATGGCTGCATAATATTCCATTATGTATATACACCACCTCTTCTTTATCCATTCATCTGTTGTTGGACATCTTGGCTCTTTCCACAGTTTGGCTATTGTGGACATTGCTGCTATAAACTTTCGGGTCCCTACATTTGTATCTTTGTGGTAAATACCCAGTAGTGCAATTGCTGGATCGGATGGTAGCTCTATTTTCAACTGTTTGAGGAACCTCCATACTGTTTTCCAGAGGGGTTGCACCAGCTTGCATTCCCACCAACAGTGTAGGAGGGTTCCCCTTTCTCCACATCCCCGCCAACATCTGTCGTTTCCTGACTTGTTAATTTTAGCCATTCTGACGGGTGTGAGGTGGTATCTCATTGAGGTTTTGATTTGGATTTCCCTGATGCCGAGCGATGTTGAGCACTTTTTCATGTGTCTGTTGGCCATTTGGATGTCTTCTTTGGAAAAATGTCTGTTCATGTCTTCTGCCCAACAAATGGGACTTGTTTATAGATGTGTTAGAATTAGTGAAATTTAAGATTAGTATCACCTTGGGCCTGGGTGGCTCGGTTGAGCACTCAACTCTTGGTTTCAGCTCAGGCTGTGAGATCGAGCCTCACGTCAGCGTCCTGGCTCAGCCCAGAATCTGCTTGACACTTTCTCCCTCTCCTTCTGCCCTGCCCCTGCTCTCGCTCTCAAATAAATAAAATCTTGTTTTAAAACAGTTAGTTTCAATTCAAGCCAACATACCTTATTAAAGACGTATTGTATTGTTTCTGAGCCATTTATGAGAATACTAGTCTGGGTCCCACTTTCTGGAGTTGGTCATCCTCAAATTCTGAGGAGTCATTAGCTTGTAGAAATAATTTTCCATATTAAGATCTCCTCAACAGTAGTACTGGCATAAGGATAGACATAGAGATTAATGGATCAGAACTGAGTCCAGAAATAAATCCCTATATTTATAGTTAATTGATTTTTGACAAAGGTGCTAAGGCAATTCATTGGGGGAAAGAATAGTCTGTTCAACAAATGTGCTGGGACAACTGATTATCCACACACAAAAAGATGAACTTAGACCTTCAACTCATACAGAAAATTAACTCAAAAGGATCATAGACTTCAATGTAACAGCTAAAACAATAAAATTTCTAGAAGAAAACAGAATACCTTCCAGATTTTGTGTTAGGCAAAGATTTCTTAGATTAAAGCTTCTACCTATTCTACAGATGGACTGTTTTCTGTTGGACCAAAAACAGTCTATCACTGAAAAAACAGGTAAGTTGGATAGCATCAAAATTCAAAACTTGTGCACTTCAAAATTACCATTAAGGAAATTCAAAGACAAGTTACAGACTGGAGGAAATATCTGGAAAACGTATCTGATCAAGGATTTGTATCTATAATATACAAAAAAATGCTTACAACTCAATAATTAGGAAAACAACTCAAATAGGGGGCAAAAGAAACGAACAGACATTTCATCAAAGAAGTTACACAAATGGCTAATAAGAACGTGAAAAGAAGCTTAACACCGTTAGTCATTAGAAAAATGCAAAATAAAACCACAGTAAGATACCATTTCACACCCACTAGAATGTCTTTAATAAATACGGCAGGCGGGCGCCTGGGTGGCTCAGTTGTTAAGCGTCTGCCTTCGGCTCAGGTCATGATCCCAGGGTCCTGGGATCGAGTCCCACATCGGGCTCCCTGCTCGGTGGGAAGCCTGCTTCTCCCTCTCCTGCTCCCCCTGCTTGTGTTCCTGCTCTCGCTGTCTCTCTCTCTAGGTCAAATAAATAAATAAAATCTTTAAAAATAAATAAATAAATAAATAAATAAATAAATAAATAAATAAATAAATAAATAAATAAATACGGCAGGCAATAACAAATGTTGGCGAGGCTGTGGAGAGATTGGA